TGAACTACGATGAAGACATTTAAATCATAAAGTTTTTGTTGACTTTACAATTAATTAGCGAAGTTTGTTTGACTCGCCATTTTAGACACATCGATTTCATTTTCTAACCCTAGAATCCCAATCTCTCTCTCTCGCTTCCCTCTGTTGAAATTCCGACTGATGATGGCTAAAACTCGTGGGGGGAAGAGAAGAATTCCGGTTCGGCGGTCACCGCGACTGAGTCAAGCAGCAGCCGCGGAAAATTTCGGACCAAATCCTACGGAAAATTTCGGACCAAATCCTACAGAAGCGAAGCTGAGCTTCCGCGGCTGCTGCTTGACTCAGTCGCGGTGACCGCCGAACCGGAATTCTTCTCTTCCCTCCACGAGTTTTAGCCATCATCAGTCGGAATTTCAACAGAGGGAAGCGACAGAGAGAGATTGGGATTCTAGGGTTAGAAAATGAAATCGATGTGTCTAAAATGGCGAGTCAAACAAACTTCGCTAATTAATTGTAAAGTCAACAAAAACTTTATGATTTAAATGTCTTCATCGTAGTCCAAGATTAAATCGTCCCAAATTTGAAAGTTCATGATTTTTTTGACATTTTTCCCAATAAAAATTGAAGTTCGTCATCCGCGAGGCTACATCGACACGTGTAATCTAACTATTGAGTTAAGATCCTGCCGACAACAAATAAGGGTGGGGCCCGCGTGCGTAATGAGGACCACGAGGGAACGGTGCTCCTTTACTTTCCTGTCCTTTTTAAATCAAAAATTACGACGCTAAAAATTCGTTAATACATCACTTCTATGCAATCAATAGTTGCTAATGTATCGCCATTATGCAATTATTCCAGGGGACTACACAAGTCTTGTTTTAAACAATACAAACAAAACATGAAAATTCCAGAAAAACAGTACTCTAATGTTAAATAAAGAATTTGAATAAAACAGAAGTTTGGGAAAAATGTCATGTTTTTTTTTTGTCAAAGTGGGAAACTGTCATGTTATCATAATCTGTTATGTGGAAGTAATGAAATCTCTTGAAAAATTATTAACATCCTAAATTTCCTAGCTAGTCATGTATCGATTATCTCATTAGATTTTTTCATTGGTTTAACAATATCATCTTCTTCTTTCTTTTTTTGAGAAAACGATTCAACATTAATATCATCTAGAACATGTAATACGGATTTATTGTATTGAATCAGAGCAGTTCCACATTATTAAGGAAAACTTAAACAATATATTTGTCTTTTATTAGATATCCTTTTGTTTAAGACTAAGTTTCTTCCTTAATACACATTTTTAAAAAATATATCACTTGTTTACCCCGGCGTTTATATCTTAGAGGATAACTAGAGGTGTAAACAAAGTATCTAGCTTGCAATAGAAACAAAACTAATAGCAGCAAGAGGTGATGATCAAAACTCGTCCTAGCCCGTAGCCTATAGAAAATATATGGACCACAATATTCACCCTAATAATGCTCGCTCATAACTTGTCGGATATTTTTTCAAAAAGTCATGTGAGCAAATTGTTGGTTAGATCAGTACCAGTCTCCAATCGAAAACCATCAATCAAATCACAGGGCTAGTTCATCCGAATTACTTAAGGACAAGCCAATCACAAGTGATCACACCAGATCCTGAGATCTTAAGCACCCAAATAAACCATGATCAAAGCTTATTCTTCTTTCTTTCTTTTTTTTTGACTCCTGAATTGAACATGTGTTTAGACAATAATAATAGTTATTATTTGGTCACAACGCATGCAAAGAATGTTGATATTTGTTGGTATTTAACTATTTATGTCGTATAATATGATTTTAGAAGATCTTAAAAGGAGTTTGGGAGACAGAAATAGCGTAGGCAGCATTCATATGGCATTGTCCAAAAGGAGCATCATGAGATCGGGGGGCCACTCTTGCATGTGATTCTTATTCTTCAGTAATTACCTCACCTCTCATCACCCCTAACGCCACTATGTCCATATTTAAATGTTAATTTTTTGAGATATTGTTTTTTAAAATTCTCATAACTATTTTGGGATTTTCAGACGAAGAATACTTTATACAATCAGAAGCACTAATCAGTCATGATTTCAATTTCATATATAATTTATTTAGTTTTCGATTTGATAAAACTTCACGATTACAATAAACGTTGGGATAGGATTGCCGATGGCAGATTAAATTCATAGTATTATTTGTGCGCAAAATCATATATTCACATATATTCCGTTAAATAATTTCCCATATGATTAAATCTCAAACAGAAATGGCATTCTAAGTTTCCACTACCAATATTCCACCGTCACCTTTTACGTTTGCGTCATGTAGCATTAGTTACAAATGGCATTTTCTTGAAGTTGTGATTTCTTTGTCAATAATCTACATATAGCTATATTTCATACCACCGCAAGGTAGTGTATAGTATATAGTAGTGATCCGAATCATCATCTACATATAGCTATATTACAAATAAAAAGTGGATATCCATAGAAAATGAATTAGAAAACGGTAAGAAAAGAACCTATATGACGAAATTAGTAACGGGCCAACTAACTCGCCCGTGACTTTATATGCACATGCTTACTCGATAGTCGTTACAATGGCTAAGGTAAGTTAACCCTAAAAGTCCACCCTCGTCATTCGTTCCAAGACGTGGCTCCATGCATGCATATTTGCTTACGCACTTAATGACATAATTATCCGTGTCATTTGTTAGCAATTTTTCCTGCAAATTAACGTGTTAGAAAACTTAGAAAACAAATTTGGTTGAAAACTTTTATATATTTCCTTGTTCTGTGTAGTAATAAATTATATACAAAATTTGCATAAGTGATATGATATCTGACTATTGTAATCGGCAAATCCAGTGATTAAAAAGATAATTCAATTCGCTGACACACAACCAAAATATTTAGTATTTTTCAAAGGTGAGTGTGAGAAAGGCAAATTTTCTATCCTGGCTTTTCTTTTTTGACTACCCCAACTTAACTTTCACATTGATTTCCAGTCAGTTGGTAAATGCAGATTATAATTTAACATATTGAAGAACAACATAGGGGCCACAACAACAGATATAAGAGCATCTCCAATGGGTGTTTTTTTGGGCTCTCACAGATGGTTCTCTTGAAAAAAATCTTCAAAAATAAATCAAAACTAAGAGAGACAGCTCTCTTGAGAGAAACTTTGAGTTGTATGAGAGTCGATGACGTGGCGCGTTATGAACCGTCGATTTTTTTTGATCAAAAAAAAAAAAAAAACGCGTAACAAAAAAAAGGAAAGTAGCCAAACTCATTTCATTTCCCCGACTCTCTCTCTTTCTTTGAGAGAGATGGCGATGGCGATTGCTTTTCTCCGACGATTGAGGCCCGTCAATCTCATCGTCTCAATTCATTGTTGCTTATTTCAAAAGGTATTTTCTGGGTTCAGATTCTTAGAGGTTCTTGTTCTTGAAAGTCTGATACTTTGAATGTAATAGCAAAGAAAAAAAGGGAAGATTTTTAATTTCGATATGTATATTTCTCGGATGGGTTTGAGTCGGAGTTTCCCGCCGCTTTTTGGGGGATTTCGGGAAATTCTAGGGTTAGGGTTGGATATTGTCTTCCTCTAGCAGTCTCTTCATCTTTCTTGAGATTGAAAGAGGTTGTTTTTTGTTTGTTCCTGGAATCGAGATTTTGGATCTTAATCGATATGTGGGTTAATTGGGAGATCTGGGATTTGGGAGATCTTTTCATTGGAAGACTCTACGGCTGGATCTTTGGAGATTGTGTTTGTATGTTTTCGATTAATCACCAAGTTTGGATCAAAATCATGTTTAGGGAGTCTTTGACCTCGACTTATTCATGGAGTCTACTTAAAACAGTCTCAACATGTTTATTGACTCGAAAATATTTTTATCTAATATTTGTGCATATCTCATTCTCTTCTATGAACACTTATGAAGTTTAATTTAATTTAATTCTACATAGTTGAAATTTAGATTCTACATAAACTTTTCATTGCTACTATTTACTTGGAAACTTAATCTAGCTTCAGGGGAATACAGATTGGTCAATATGCTTTGGAAGTAATCTTTTGGTTAGAGGAATCCTGGTCTTGTTAGTTTTACATTAATGAAATGTGCAATGCTAGTTTTCTAAGTTGTAATCATTTCATTAAAACTTTTCATCGCTACTATGAATCTTAATTTAACTTCAGGGGAATACAGATTTTTCAATGCTTTGGAAATAATCTTTTGGTTTGTGTTAAGATTTATCAGTTTTGAAGAAGGGTATTTCTTCTTAGGCCTTTATGTGGTAGTTTGCTTAAAGAAGCACATAAATAGCAATCTAAAGACGCAGGATTGAAACAAATGTTCTTTACGTATATGTTTATTGAGCATGGTGTGTGCTAGGATGATTTTGGTTGATGTTTGTTTGCTAAACTGTTTGCAGATGCTTCAATTCATATTGTAGTTGCAAAGGACCTTGAACTATTTGCTCATCATGCTGGACGCAAAGTTGTGAACATGGACGATGTTGTTCTTTCCGGTAGAAACTGTTTCTCTCTTACACGTTCATGTTAGTGTTTTGTTCTGAATCTCATATCTGTTTTCTGAAATTTGCAGCCCATAGAAACGATAACTATAGTGTTTATGAATAAATTTTTTTTTTCTAAGAACCCCATTTGAGAGATACTACCATTGGACTATGATTTTTTTTTTTTTAAAAACACAAGCTCTCTTCTTATAAATTTCTATTAAACAATGTGAGAGAGCTTATAGAAGGCTCTCACCATTGGAGATGCTCTAAGTCTGTTTCTTTGAAGACTTTTCTTCTTCTCACAAACTACCAAACACTGCTATAACACTACTGAAAACTTCTTGCTGAGACAACAACATTTTTAACTTTATAATAATGAATTAATCCTATTATTATTCGATAAAAAAGACGAAAATAACTTATGATCAATTAAAAAAAGATAAAAGAAAAATTCACACTTGAAGATTTTTGTTTTTCTTCTTGTTACCGTAGTTCCATAAAAGTTTTACTGATATAGCTGTAAAACTATTAATTCGTCTACTTTTCTTCTTTAGCATTTATTCCCTGACAATCCGATAATCTTATTCGCTAGATCGTAAGTGATACGTGTCCCTTGCTGCTGCACATTTCCGATGATCGACAACGACGACGACGTCGGAGCAAATGCGAAGCAGAACGTTCCGTTATCATCTACTGGGATCAGATAATTCTTCGCCGGCAAATCAAGCGACTTTCCTCCGGTGAAATGAAACGCAACTGTCGGTACTTTCACGGTGGAGAGAGACGAGAAGTCGTAACACGTGTCGAACAGAGAGATGCTCGAAGTTCCTTTTTTGAGATTCGTGGTGAGTTTAAGAAACGCGTCACGCAGCGAGTTATAAGCCTGAGTTTGAAGACGAGTCACGGCGGTTCCACAATCCAAGATCACTCCTCCACTTCCCGAAGCGTCGACGTCGAAGATAGCATCAGGCATAATGACTTTTTGACCACCGACGCTGAATCCACTAAGTCCGACGTAGTAGAAAGTGTCGATCTTTTGGTTACGGAGAAGCGGCGCCGTCGCGTCTCCGCTACCGAGTTGGACCGAGTTGAAATCAAGACTCGACGATTTTCCCGAGTCACGGTCAACGAGGCAGTAAGAAAACGACGTCGCTTTCATTTGATTGGTTATCGATAAAGCTCCACCTCCTAAACCGAGTAAACCGGCTGCTCCGGTAAAGAGACCTTCGTTATCGTGACCACAACCCAAAGCGACGTCGTTTAGTTTACCGGAGTTACCAAACGTCACCGTATCGGTAGCGAGTTCACCGACGGTGAAAGATCCGTCGCCGTAACTAACTTGGTAGAGACATTTGTTTGAACGACAAGCGGAGGTTTCGAGAAGAGAGCACTGTCGAGCAGTGCAAGTGAGTGATTTGTAAGTGGAAGATGAAGTCGGGTTAAAAACCGGGTCGGATTGTTGATAACAGTCGGAGCAAGGCTCACACTGGATCCAATTCACGTCGCTTCCGGTGTCGAGAACCAAGTACATCTCTTTCGCCGGAGTTCCGACTCCGATTCTTGAAAAGTACTCGCCGCTTCCTTGGGAGACTCCGGAGACGACAGGTGTCGTTAGAGCCTCGGGTTGATATCGAGTATCTTCGTTGTTAACGGGTTTGAGATCGGATCTATCGATTCCTTCCACGGCGAAACGGATCTTCGCGGCGATTCCGGCGACTCGGGATGAGTCACGCTCGAGTCGACTCAGTACTAGGCTTTTGTAGTCTTTATGCTGTGACGCGACGAAAGTGTCTCGAGAGTGAAGCTCTAGAGATAGTGGTGAAGATGAATTGAAGAAAACCGGGTCGGATATGGATTCGGGTTTGGTGGTGGTGAGTGAGGAACGAGTCGGGTCGAGTGAGAGGATAGTTTGTGTTTGCTGGAGAGATGAAACGACGTCGAGTACTGTCGTTTTAGGTGAAGTGGATAGAGAGCGAGAGGAAGCATCGGTCGTGGTGAGGAAAAGAGAGAGAGTGACGGTGGTGAGGAGAGAAAGAAATCGCGGGAAAGCCATTATTTCCGGCGAAGGTTGATATGAGTTAAGTGGAAGAGAAAAAGAGTAAGTAATGTTTTTAATTTATAGAGAGGAAATAAATGTCGTGGAGAGAGTCACGCCAGAATTGCTGTGGTTATAAAAGCCACATCAATTATTTATCATCTTGTAAAAATATTTGGATTCACATTATCATCGATCGGTATAAAAGCTATATGTTAATATGTAGTTGGATATCATATTTTAAATACAAATATAAAGTTTTTAAAATAAGAAATCTTCATCTAATTTTATCATATGATCCCAACATAGCATAACATTTATACCGAATAAAATACAAATGTAATTTTATCATATGATCCCAAAAGAAGAATTTGTATTTTCTAGAATTCAACACAAAACTATAGCATAGGGTACTGTACGGACGTGAGTAGAAGATAGTGGTTAATAGGGATTTGACCTGCTAAATATCTTACTACAAGCGATTATCCAATATTAAGCTCCTAGAGATGTGCGACTATAGAGTACGTGTGTTTATTTATTGCAAAGACCTTGGAATTCAAAATACTCCTATATGTTAAACCAATCACTTCTAATTTTTTACGTGACCAAAGCTAAATCTTATCCCTAGAAAATTAAAAGCTGTGTGTCCTTTTGTTATTTTCGGGCTTCAAAACTTTGTATTTTCTTAACCATCGCTATCGAGAGAAAAGTCAGGCAAAGTTTTGGAAACTAGTAGTTATAGGGGTCGAATATATTATCTTAATCATCTAAGATAATGTCATTTTGTGTTGGATATTTGTTAATGTCATTTTGTGTTGTATATTTCTTAAGTTATTTGTGTTGTATATTTGCTAATGCTAATTTGTGGTGCATATTTGCTAAGTACTGTGCCTTTTTTTGTGAAAGCAATTTGTTTAAGGTGATTGATGAACGAAGGCTATAGGTAAAAAGTGGAAATGAGTGAATAAATGAGAGAAGTGGGTGAGTTGTTACTTCGTTAGAAGAGAGATTTGGGTTTATTTCGCTTTCCCTGAATTAATGGTAACGCACCCTTTTGGCTTTGGTTGTTGCGTATCATTTATTTCTCTTTTGTTTTTAATCTTGTTATATCCATTTTTTATACCTACTTTACTTTTTTCCCTAAATTTAGATTATGCATATTCAATCAGTAATGTTTTAAATCGCATAAACTTTTATGTTTTATCAATATGCTTCACTAATTTGTATTTCAACATTCGTTAGTAATATTTAATAGTAAAGTTAAAAGAACATTATAATGTAGACGCAATCATAGAGTTTTTCTTTGTCAAAGGGAATATTGCAAAAAAAAAAAAAGTAGAAACGAACAGCCATTATTATTGATACAGTTTGTGTGATTGTACCATTATACTAGGCATGCTAGGAAAAATTAGTATGGATGTCAATATTATAAATATAAAAAACATTTTTGAAGAAAATCAAATGAAAATGGCAAAGTAAGAGAAAAATATCAGTCACACTTGTGCTTGGGCCTACTTTTTGTAATATTTTTAGTAGGTTTTTATTGGTTAATTCAACAGTTAGTCTCATACTCTCATCTGACTTAATTACACACAAAATATAAAATATGTTTTCATGAACGTTTTAACATTTTTCACTCTAGTTATTATGGGCTTATCAATTTGCAAATATGAATTGTAATTACGATTTTTGTATTTAAAATAACGAATCAATTATGGATTTGCCATTTTTTGGGATGACATTTGTGGATTTTGCCCTTTTTTGAATAGTTTATGGATTTTGCCATTTTTCAGGCTACAGAAATATGATTTAACATGCGTTTTATTCGTTATGTTTGGGTTTAGTCGGTTGTGGTTGTTCTTAGGGTTTAGTATTTTGTATAAACTACGTATTTTTACCAAAAAAATCCGAAATACGTACATTTTTAAGTGTTAGAAAATGGCATATCCGTAAGATTTTTGTAAAAATGGCAATTTCAAAAGATTTCTATGAAAAATGGCAAAATCAACAATAATCCCTAAAATAACCAAGGATATGGAAGTAAAATTGTTTATTATACAATTACCCAATTCATTTTTTTATATAGTTGATTCTTTTGGAAGGGTATCAAAGCCTAATTTATTTCAAATCATGATTCATCGTAAGTGTAAAACATGCATTTACATAAATGCTTATCTTTGAACTTTTATTGGTAAAAGCGATATCGCAAATCTACCTGGTTGTGTGGTTCAGCTCTGGTGATAAACGTTGGCGCAATCTCATCCCACCAAAGACGTCCAAATAAACATAAAATACTCGTTTCAGTGAGGTAGGAAGAAGGGATTGCAAAATCACAAAAATGATATTCGTCCTGAGCTGCTACTCCATCACTTATCAACAAAAAAAAGCACATTAAAAATTACAAGAAAGCGAGATAAATTTAAAGATAATGTTTTTTTTACCGATCTTAAAATTCATAAACTAAATTAAGACTAAAGTACACATTTAGAACAAAACTAAGTAAGATATAAAAACGAATTTATCGACCGTTAACTTTATTTTAAAAATTGCGTAAAACTTTTACAAACGTAAGCATGACTCTGCAGTCCTATGCGTCGAAAACTGACGAACTAAAAGAATTAAATGGTAAGGCACACAAAAAAAAACTAAATGATCATGATTAAACAAAATCATGAGATCTACTGATCTAGTATGCGAATAGAACATATAAAATCATATATGGAGAAAAATGACTTGATACTGTCTCAGAAACTTGACGTACTGAGCTACTATCACTAAATTATGAAATCAAAATAAATGATACTCCACTAAAAGTAGAAATAATATCATCGTATTTGAAAAACAAAAAACAACAAGGACAATGAAAAAAAAAATCATAATTCAAAATCAAATATCATCTCCAAGTTCTTAACATGATAAAGTTAGACTACAAACAAAACTGACATCCTACCAAAATTAGAAACAAAATCACAGAAATTGAAATCAAACTCACAATAACTAAAAAAAACAATAGACATTAAAACAACAAATCCGAATAACAAAAACAGGATCTCAGCTAAACAAGGCCTGGTGTAGTATACTAGTATTGGCCCATGTCCCATGGCCCATGGGTGAGTATTTATTTTGTCTGATCAAAGAAAAAAAAAGAAGGATATTTATCCGTATGGCGCCAAGCGGTTTGTGTGGTTTTCGATTTCTTCCAAATTTCTGACTTTCGTCTCAAAACATCCACAAAATCGAATGCGTTGCGTGAATTGCGTCGGTTGTTCTTGGTCACGGCCAAGCAGAGCTCACCGTATTATCTCCTCCGGTGGTCACCTTTCGTCTCGATTCTATCAATGTCCTTCATCGTCTCTATCTTTCCGTTCCTCTTTCATGTGTTGCTCCTCCACATCTGGACCGTCCGATTCAAATCCCGAATCATCTTCAAATCGCTCTTACAGTTACAGCCGTAGATGGCACAATCCCCTTCCCCGGCGTCGACATCCTGATCAAATGCCGTCTTCTCGGATTGCTCGTGATTGGATCGATTCAGATACAACTCCAGTTTCCCAAGGTATATCTGATAATGATCTTATGGAACTTGTGAACTAGTTAGGTTTTAGTAAATTAGGCTTAGCGTCGTTTGAGATATTAGTTAGGCTTGAGTATTTATTTGTCGATGAAGCATGTGTAATTGTGGATGCCTTTGGTTCTTACTAGTGTATCTCTATGTAATTTTAGCTTCAGAGAGATTCACTGTAGTGTCATACAACATACTGGGAGATAGAAATTCATCATATCATAGAGATTTGTACTCCAATGTGTCTTTTCCTTACCTCAAGTGGGGCTACCGCAAAAGGTTGATATGCGAAGAACTCATTCGTCTCAATCCAGACATAATCTGTATGCAGGTAATGAACTTTTCCTTGTTTTTTCTCGATTCCAGGGTTAAGTGTTAAGAGAGTTATGTTGTTTTTGTTTGCGGATCTTTGTAGGAAGTAGACAAGTATTTTGATCTATTCAGTATGATGGAGAAAGCTGGATATGCTGGCTCCTATAAGGTTGCTGTATTTCCTTGTCTATGAAAAAAAATTATGCTTGTAAAATGAATGGTGTGACATGTGAAACATCGTTTGTCGGTTGGTTTCATTTACCTTTTCATCTGAAGCCTCAACAAAAGTTGTGTTTCTATAGAAGGACTACAAATATAAGCTTTGCAATGGCAGCGGCGAACTGGAGATAACATCGATGGGTGCGCAATGTTTTGGAAGGCTGATAGGTAGCATAGCTTGCTTGACTCAATTTGTATTAGTGTGTAGAAAACCGACAAAATCAACTCAACATTGTTTAAGATAATATCTTGTTTTGAAAAGCTTTCGAGTTTTGGAGAGGGAAAATATTGAGTTTAGCCAGTTTGGTATGCGCGATAATGTTGCACAGCTTGCTGTTCTTGAGGTAAGCAGTTATTATGAATGTTTTACGAACTTTTTTTTTATGTATATGCTCAGATGATTTCCTTGATTGATCTAGTTTTGTTTTGGGTTTTCTGTCAGCTGCGGAAGTCTAATAAGTCAAGAAAGATACTGCTGGGTAACATCCACGTGCTTTATAATCCAAATAAAGGAGATGTGAAGCTGGGTCAAGTAAGTCTCGTCATTTCAATTGGTATATCCACTACACCAGCAATTGACAGTCATGAAAGTTTACAAAATGTTGATTTGGCCCTATGGCTTGAAGACTACATCAGTTCTATTTAGCTGATTCATATATTTCTTGTTTCTTTTCATGGGGTTTGGAGTGAAAATGTACTGAATCTCAGTCAAGAGATGTTGACTAGCATTGTTCAAATGTCTAAGACATGTCTAAGTTAATAGTATATGTCATGAGATGGTCACTAGTATTTGTCCAAATGCGCATGAAAACGTATTGAATTCATAGCTTTATGTTTTTTCTGGAGTTCCTGATTTGCCTTTTTCTTGACTGATAGATCCGTTCACTCTGCTCAAAGGCTCACTTGCTCTCTAAGAAATGGGGAGACATTCCCATTGTTCTATGCGGGGATTTCAATAGCACTCCCCAGGTACATATCTTTTCAAATAAACTCCTCCACTTTGGTTTTGTGTATCTGTTTATTCATTGTTTGATTTTATCTTCTTACGTGTAGAGTCCATTGTACAACTTCTTGGCGTCCTCTGAGGTATGACTATTCATTGTCTTGCTTCAGTCAAACTACACATTTGTCCGCTTGTAGTTTCTTTAAATCGAATTATGTTTTTATCTTACAGCTGAATGTCATGGAACATGACAAAAGAGAGCTCTCTGGCCAGAAAAAATGTCATCCAACCAAAGTTCTTGAGACTGGAAGCAAATCTAGTAATACAATAACTTTCAGGTAAGATTGTTTTTTGAAGATTTGATCAGTTCTGCTGTGAATGGTTGTCTGGTGACTGCCTGGTGAAATAGCCATTGTATTCACCTCTGGTTGATGTTTTTTTAGCTCTTGGACCAATGAAGAGATCCGAGTTGCGACTGGGCAAGAGAACTCGTACTGGGCTGTGCATCCCTTGAAACTCAATAGCTCATACGCCTCAGTTAAGGTAACAAACAAAGCTTTAATGTCTCTGTCTAATGACAAGAGCTTAAATATACTCATGATCATGGTACACAACAGGGCTCACCAAATACCAGGGACTCTGTTGGTGAACCTCTAGCAACCTCGTATCACTCGAAATTTCTCGGAACGGTTGATTATCTTTGGTAAAACATTCTAAACACAACCAAAACTCAAAATGACAAATTTAACAGTTGGCTGATGAACTAACTAATTGGAAAAATATGTGTGGTCTGGTTTAGGTACTCTGATGGTCTTGTACCTGCAGGGGTTCTTGATACACTTCCTATTGATGTTCTCTGCAAAACCAAAGGCCTTCCTTGTCAAGTATGTATCATCAAACAGTTTAAATTTGGTGAGTACACATGTATGCTTAATAATGCTTTAAGCTTTCTTGTCTTTGGTTTGTAGGAATTGGGAAGCGATCACTTGGCACTTGTTTCTGAATTTTTCTTTGAACCGAACGGTTAAAGGCATATATCTAGTAGTGTCAGCTTAATTTTGCTTACGGTTACAAATGTTTGTTTATTGTACATGTATATGTATAAGCGTACCGAAATTATCTGAATCATGGTACGATATCAAACCGACTTCTCGATAAATAAATGAAGCAATCAGAATCTTGTCCTTGTGTGCTGCTCTAGGATATTAAACCGACTTCTTCGAGCGTAATTAGAAGTGAGAGAACCAGTTTATTTTGATTCTAGATCTAAACCGAAGCGGACATAAGCTTGGTTTATAATGTACCAAAAAAGAAAGAATTGAACCAATTGGTACGGTTCTAATTTGGTTCCGGTAAACTGAAAACGAGATCGCTAAAGGATATTCTTTTAGAGAGCTGTAAAATTGGAATCGAAGGAAGAGGAGAGAAGAGAGTGAGGAAATGGCGTTGAGCTCAATGACATGGGGTTACGCACGGATCATAGCTGGAACACTTCTCGGCGGGACTCTCGGATTCTACGTAATGCATCGCATCGAAGTTAGCTACAAGGTCTGTTTCTTCTTCTTCTTCTTCTTCTTCTTCTTCTTCTTCTTCTTCTTCTTCTTCTTCTTCTTCTTCTCCTCTCTGTCTTTCTCCGAGAAAGCTTGTGCTCGACCTTAGACTGTTGGGTTTTACGCAGATGAGGATGGAGGAAGCGTTGAATCAATACGAGAAGGATATGCAGAAGAGACAAGAAGAAGAGAATCTTAGTCAGATCAATGAAGAATCCGTTTAGCTTTCTCTTGGTAGCATGCCTTCAAAGTGTTCGATGAAATGCCCAACATATGTTTTATGTTGTTTTTACTCTTTGTGTTTTTCGGTTTGGTTTGGTCTGGCATTATGAAAAGGTTACATTTGTCTTTGGTTTAAAAACTATATACCATGATGGTGGACCAGAGAAGCTGCCATATTGATGATAATGATATGTATTTTCATCTATTGAAAGGTTTCTTAAAGAAACAACTAAAATTCTTATTACACATCAAAATTGTTGTTCCATCCAAATACTTAATCAATTATGTTTTTTTTGTTTGTCTGTTATATGTTATAAAATTATCCTCTAACAAGTCTGTCTATCATGAGGATTGATGTATTATTATCTGCAAATTTTTGATTTTGGAATGGTTAGAATGGTTCTACTAAGCTAACAATTTTAGAGAGGGTAGATAGAAAAATAATAATTAGGCAAAGTGTTGGATAATTCAAGACTTGAAGAAGAAGTTATCTCTTAGAAGAAGAAGCTTCTAGAGATAAGAGAGGATATTCACAAATAAGTTTTAGATAATGATAAAGTATCTAGATAGAGTTTGTGTTTAACCAAATCCTAATAGACTTGGGAGATGTCCAAGTTTATATAAATACAAGGGTCCATGGAGGGATGTTCTATGAGACTTAGAGAAGAGATTTAGTTTTGTGAGAGTTTCTAAATCTAATAAAGAAGTGTTGTTCTTTATATTCTAAGTTCTAGCAATCATAACTTTGAATTGGTATCAGAGCTTGAAGGAGGAGTACCGATCGAAGACGACGATCAAAGCTTCACGTATCCAAGATGGGAGACGTGGATCCTCCAACACGAACAAAAGACATTGGAGCCCCAACGATCCAATGCCCTATGTTAACAACAACAAACTATACAGTTTGGGCGATGAGGATGAAGATCTTGTTAAGAGTAAGCGAAGTATGGGACACCATAGAACCAGGATCAACGGACAGAAAGAAGAACGATGTAGCGACAACTCTTCTATTTCAATCAATCCCCGAGAGCCTCATCCTACAAATTGGAGAACAAGGCACGGCGAAGTTGGTGTGGGCTGCGATCAAATCTCGTCACCAGGGAGCAGACCGTGTTAAAGTGGCGAGACTCCAAACCCTAATGACACAACTCGATCGGTTGAAGATGGAAGACACCGACTCGGTTGATGACTTTGCGGGAAAGATTTCGGGAATAGCTTCCCAATCTGCTTCTCTCGGAAATACAATTGAAGAATCAAAGTTGGTGAAGAAGTTCTTGACAAGTCTCCCTAGAGGCAAATTCATACAAATTGTAGCTTCTCTTGAGCAAGTCCTAGACTTAGAAACAACGGGATTTGAAGACATAGTAGGGAGAATAAAAGCTTACGACGAGCGTATAAGGGATGAGACTCAAGGAGAGGATCAAAGTAAACTCTTGTTTTCAAACAATAGCCACGGAGGCTACGGCGGAAACAGAGGAGGTTACGGAAACAGAGGAGGACGAGGTTTTGGTAGGGGCAGAGGAAGCTTTGGTAGAGGTAGGGGTCGAGGGAGATTCAATAGCCAAGATCAAGGAGCAGCAGCTGCGGAAGAAAAACCAAAACCGAAAAGAGATCGTTCCAAGGTAATATGTTGGAGATGTAACAAAGCGGGCCACTTTGCATTGACATGTCCCGAGAAACCAATGCAAAACCAAGAAGCTAACCTAAACGAGACACAAGAAGCCGATGCCTTATATGTCCATGAAGTCGTATTCCTTAACGAAGATAAGGTAATCCCTAAGAACTATGATACTAATAACAACTCGAGTATTTGGTATTTAGATACCGGTGAAAGTAACCACATGTCGGGGAACAAAGATTTCTTCTCAAACCTAGATGAGAGCGTAAAAGGTAAAGTGAGGTTTGGCGATGGCTCGTGTGTGAATATCATTGGCAAAGGAACGATTGTCTTTGTGTGCAAGACCGGAGAGAAAAGAGCTCTCAAAGACATCTATCTCATACCCGAGCTAAAACACAACATATTGAGTCTTGGACAAGCAACTGAAGGTGGGTGCGAAGTACACATGAAAGAAGACGTGTTAACACTAAGTGATCCATGTGGAAAGTTGCTTGTAAGAGTCACAAGATCTCCAAACCGACTCTACAAAACCCCGATGAAAATAAGCAGTCCAATTTGTCTACTTTTACGTGATGATGAAGAAACATGGAAGTGGCACTCAAGACTTGGACATGTGAGCTTTGGTGTCATGAATAATATGGTACAAAAGGAGATGGTCGAAGGAATGCCACGAACTCTACATGAAAAGAGTGTGTGTGACGTGTGCTTAGCCGGAAAACAAACAAGAAATTCATTCCCGATAAAAACAAGCTTCCGTGCAGCACAAGCATTGGAACTAGTTCATGGCGACTTATGCGGGCCAATCTCACCACCAACACCAGCTAACAACCGGTATGTATTCGTCTTAATTGATGATTTTTCTAGGTACATGTGGACCATGTTGCTAAAGGAAAAGAGTGAGGCGTTCGATCGGTTTAAAAAGTTTAAAGAAGTTGTGGAGAAACAAACCGGGTTAACCGTGAAAACTTTTCGCACCGATAGAGGAGGAGAGTTTACCTCTGCTCAATTCACTTCCTTTTGTGAAGAAAAAGGAATAACAAGACATCTTACTGCTCCTTACACACCACAACAAAATGGTGTAGTTGAAAGAAGAAACCGGACATTAATGGAGATGACAAGAAGCTTACTTAAGGCAATGAGGATTCCGAATCACTTATGGGGAGAAGCTGTTCGTCATTCAACTTACCTCATTAATCGAGTTCCTACTAAGGCTTTGAAGGGTCAAACGCCTTACGAGTGCTTCACGTTCAAGAAACCGAACATAGAACATTTGAGAGTCTTTGGTTGTATGGCCTACGCTAAAATCAATGGACCACATCTTAAGAAGCTAGATGAAAGGTCAAGGAGCGTGGTCAATCTTGGAACCGAGCCGGGTTCTAAAGCCTATAGACTCTATGACCCGGTCTCAAGGAAAGTAATTGTTAGTAGAGACGTGGTCTTCGATGAAAAGAAAGCTTGGAACTGGTCATCTACAACAAGTGAATCCAATGGTGAACCGGGTATGTTTAAACTCACTCGTGGAGGTATTATAGATAATGGAGATGGATATGGGGATGATCAAGCCAATGAAAACCATAATCCGGATCAAGATCCTATAGACCAAGACGAGGAAGAAGAGGTAGAAGAAGAGGAACATGTTGACAATGCCGTGAATCAAGGAGCAGAGAATCAACAAGTAGTGACTAGATATGGCCGTACGGTAAGACAACCTAGCTACCTTGATGATTATGTGTTGCTTGCAGAACAAGAAAGTGGTAGGTTACTACTTACGGTAGACGGAGAACCCGAAAATTACTTTGAAGCTGAACATCAAAAGGAATGGATTGATGCAATGCAAGCCGAGTTGGATTCAATTCTCAAGAACAAGACATGGGAACTCGTTGATAAACCGGTTGATGTTAAACCTATTGGTCTTAAGTGGATTTATAAGATCAAGAAGAAAGCGGATGGCTCGGTGAATAAATACAAGGCAAGGCTTGTAGCTAAAGGCTATGTACAACAACAAGGCATAGATTTTGATGAAGTGTTTGCTCCGGTGGCACGTCTTGAAACTATACGCCTTCTCATAGCCTTAGCAGCAACAAATGGTTGGGAGATTCACCACTTAGACGTGAAAACTGCATTCTTAAACGGAGACTTAAAGGAGTTAGTCTACGTAACTCAACCGGAAGGCTTTGTGAAGAAAGGTGAGGAAGATCGAGTGTATCGACTTTACAAGGCTCTATACGGCTTACGACAAGCTCCTAGAGCATGGAATGTAAAACTCGACCAAGTCTTAAGAGAGATGGGCTTCAACAAGTGTATCAAGGAACCGACGGTATATCGGAAGAACGACAAGAAGGACGTCTTGATTGTGGCTATCTACGTGGATGATTTGTTTGTGACGGGAACCACGTTTAAAGTCATCAAAAAATTCAAGGAAGATATGTCAAAGAAATTCGAGATGTCGGATCTAGGGAAGTTAACATATTATCTTGGCATAGAAGTGATTCAAGGAGTGGATGGGATAAATATAAAGCAAGAAAGATACGCTCAAGGAATTCTTATTGATGCTAAGATGGAATCGTGTAACTTGACTCATACACCAATGCATCCAAGTCAAAAGATCAATAAATTGGAAGAAGAACCAGAGATTGATGCAACCGAGTATAGACGAACCATTGGTTGTCTTAGGTACCTTCTACACACAAGACCGGATCTCTCCTTTGCTGTTGGAGTTCTAAGCCGGTATATGCAAAGTCCAAGAAATTCTCATGGGCTTGCGGTCAAGCATATATTAAGGTATGTAAGAGGAACAACAAACTTTGGTTTGTTTTTCAAAAGAGACGGGTCAAGGAGGATCACCGGATATAGTGATAGTAGTCACAATGTTGATGTTGACGACGGAAGAAGCACCTCGGGACACGTTTTCTACTTTGGTTCATCACCGATTACTTGGACATCGCAAAAGCAACCTAAGGTCGCATTGTCCTCATGCGAAGCAGAATTCATGGCAGCTACGGAAGCCGCGAAACAAGCTATATGGCTTAAAGAATTGTTGAGTGAGATACTAAGCGTTGAAGGCGAGAAGGTCTTACTAAGGATTGACAATAAATCGGCTATAGCTTTGACCAAGAATCCGGTGTTTCATGGGAGAAGTAAGCACATACTTTCGAAGTATCATTTTATTCGGGAATGTGTGGAAGACGGACAAATCGAAGTTGAGCATGTACCCGGAGAGGTCCAAAAGGCGGACATTCTTACCAAGCCATTGGGAAGATTCAAGTTCAAGGAAATGCGGGACCTAATCGGTGTTGAAGAGATCAAGACTCCCAAAATTCAAGTTGGAATTATGGGGGAGAATGTTGGATAATTCAAGACTTGAAGAAGAAGTTATCTCTTAGAAGAAGAAGCTTCTAGAGATAAGAGAGGATATTCACAAATAAGTTTTAGATAATGATAAAGTATCTAGATAGAGTTTGTGTTTAACCAAATCCTAATAGACTTGGGAGATGTCCAAGTTTATATAAATACAAGGGTCCATGGAGGGATGTTCTATGAGACTTAGAGAAGAGATTTAGTTTTGTGAGAGTTTCTAAATCTAATAAAGAAGTGTTGTTCTTTATATTCTAAGTTCTAGCAA